TGCTATGGATGTTGCATGGTTGGTTGTCTGTGCGGGCATGGGCAATGACGAGAGTCGGAAGTGCCGTCTGACTTGCAGTGATTACCAGACTTCCACATTTGGGACTTCTGTCAGAGCCCTGTTGTTGACGAGTTGATGTGTGGACGTTGCATGGTTGGTTGTCTGCGCGGGCATGGGCAATGACGAGAGTCGGAAGTGCCGTCTGACTCGCAGTGATTACCAGACTTCCACATTTGGGACTTCTGTCAGAGCCCTGTTGTTGACGAGTTGATGTGTGGACGTTGCATGGTTGGTTGTCTGCGCGGGCATGGGCAATGACGAGAGTCGGAAGTGCCGTCTGACTCGCAGTGATTACCAGACTTCCACATTTGGGACTTCTGTCAGAGCCCTGTTGTTGACGAGTTGATGTGTGGACGTTGCATGGTTGGTTGTCTGCGCGGGCATGGGCAATGACGAGAGTCGGAAGTGCCGTCTGACTCGCAGTGATTACCAGACTTCCACATTTGGGACTTCTGTCAGAGCCCTGTTGTTGACGAGTTGATGTGTGGACGTTGCATGGTTGGTTGTCTGCGCGGGCATGGGCAATGACGAGAGTCGGAAGTGCCGTCTGACTCGCAGTGATTACCAATCTTCCACATTCGGGTTGAGTGGGCATTGGGAGGATTTGGCACACTTCGTTGCGAGGGTTGTGAGCTGGCAGGAGCCCGTCACGTTGCCTGAGGATTGCAAGACAGCACCAGTGTTTTTGCGACCAGGAGCGATTTTGTATGCTGTGGTTCCTGGTGGCTGTTCATGTTTGTTAGAGGCTTCCTGATGCTGCTTCTTCTCCTTTCTCGCAAAGAGCGTGAACCGTGCGGGTTAGTGCGAATGATGATACTCATAGGGATTGCAACAGCGCTAATCTTCAAGATCAGGATATCATCAGTTGCACTAGCAACTACGACGATGTTCTCGACTATAACTGCTTCGCCACTACCACGACACTGAACGCGACCACGACCACGGCCGCGGCTGCGACGACAGCAAGCCGTTCTGCAAGCTGTTCATCCCCAGCTTTCTGGGCCAGTGAAGCCCTTCAAGTCAAGAAACCGCGAAGCGCGAATCTCGGAACGAGGTGGCCCTGGAGTCCCGCATGGTGCTTCTTGCTGGCGTAGCGAGGTGGGGTCCGTTCTCTCGCGTTACCCGGTATCTCCAAGGTTGCCGTGGGCCATGTGGGCTCTTGGGGTTGGAGTCTCTTTAGAAGGTTGAGGGACAGCTCCAGGCTTCCGGACAGCGACTGCCACATCTCGTGTAACCATGAATATCGCACAATTCTTCTGGGTTAAACCCGAATCGCAACCCTCGTAGGAACCCTTGTAGCAATTCTGTTCGGGCTCACGCAGGCCCGACGACTCTGGGGCCTGCTCTGTCGAAGCTGCGGTGCATGGCGGCTGGATGCCTTCCGGCTAGACGAGCAGTTTAATGGTATGCCTGTCGACGCCGCAAAAACCCCTAGTCCCGAAATCCCAAACTTGAAAGTGGTGAGGTCGATTTGTTGCTGTTGTGGTAGGTAGTCCTACTAGTCGACCGCTGCCGAGGGTGCTGACAACCGGGGACCGTGTGAGCGGTGTGGCCACAGTTTGCCGGTGCCTGTGTCGGCTGAGGCTCAGCATCCATCGGATTTTTGAAGTGTCCGCATGTGTCAGCCTGGTTTTCCATATAAATAAATAAATATAAATAAGTGTATATATGTATATATATATATACATACTAATATTACCCTGGTTTGAGTTTCAGGGCTTCAGTATTTCAGACTTTGTGGGTAGAAAGGCGCTTGAGCTTCGAGAGAATCTTTTTGCAGGCGTTAAAGACATGAAGGAGCCGCCAATCAGTAGGATTCCTGGGCTCCAATAACCCTTAGCTAAGGAATATACGTGAAATTTCATTATTGGAGTCTCGGAGATCTCCGGGCTCCTTGAAGGTTCTTCAGTTCCTGGAGCAAGGCTTGTTCGTAAAGAGGAGGTGGATGAAGGGTCCGGCGTTTCTATGTGGAGGGAGCTATGGTTCGAGGTTTGCCGAAGTGCGAGGTTTGCAGTGTTGCAACTGAAGTCGCAGGATCGGTTGGGTCGTTGACACGATACACAAGCAGTGTACACATGCAGGAATGCTGACTGGCTTTGAAAAGCTCAGGCACATAACAACGTACACTCTGCTGCTCCAATTCCGCTTGTGAGGAACATTTTCCGCACTGCTTGCGTTGACGTTGAGTGTGCTACCTGTGCTTTGCTGCCTCACCCGGCAAATTCTGTCGCTTACCATTGCCAACACCTCGGAGGGCTTTCTCACCAAAAAAATCTTTGGCCGTAAGCCATCAGCCATACATCCTAGACATTTGAAGGCTACCTAAATCACCTGAAGATCCCGCAAGTGCAAATTATGACAAGTCCAAACTGCAGAACGCAACGGAGAAGAGTTCGGCAACAACCCCTCGGGGTGCTTTGCGGCATCATTCAATCCGTCGTAGCCCAGCAGAAGAAACCCCAGGTCCTAGAGTCCTAGACCCTAAATGCTAAGCCCTAATCGCCACTGTAACTGTCTCTGCCCTGCTCGGTTTTGTGAGGCTTCGCTCCATGAGCGAATGGAACACCTTGTGTGGCTTCGTCGCCTCATGCCCTTGCAAGGCCATAGTAATTTTGCCGTTTGCTGTTTTGAGTTTGAGTTGTGTAGGTGACTGTGTTTCGTTCATTTTTTGGCGTTCATTTTTTACAGGGCTTGCCCTGGGGTGCTCGGCATGAAGCTTGGGAATCCAGGGCTAGTGTCAGGACCCAAAGAAACAAGTGTTCGATGCTTCAACCTTTCAAGCAGCCGACAAAACTCCGGACCTTTCACCCTGCTCCGGAAACCGCCTGTCATCTTTGAGCTCATCACACAAATTATTGTTATGGCTACCCGCATCCTCGTGGTCTCCTCGCCGTCCTGATCAGAAACCTCATCACCACACTACCATAATGAGGCCGCTTTGCAACGGTTTTGATATTTCTTGGTCTTAGACGGTTCGAACAATGAAAATTCGCAGACACGCGGGTAGATCCTGTGGTATTTCGCATCACGTTGCTGTTCCCGAGAAGACCATGAACTCATTAACCTGTTCCAGGCTACTTGCCAATTTCCCTTGAGCTGGCGCAGGTGGGTTGACTTTCAGGTTTGGCACTTCGGCTTCAAGATGATGTGTGTTTCGGACTGGCCACGTTTTGGTAGGTGCAGCGTGTGGTGTACTGAATCCCACTGAAGGTGTTTGAACATGAAACATGGCCCCGTGCGTGGAGTAGTCTGTCATCATCTCCATGCGGCGACCTCACCCGACTGTGCATAAAGAGGTAAGTTCGCGAGGGAGGTAGAGAGTCGTTGAACTTTTGCATCATCTCAATTCCGGCTGGATTTTCCTCCCGCGTCATCAGACAGCAACTGAAGAATCAAGTGCCCGGGGGTTCTTAGTATACTAACTATATAATTACCAATACTGTTTTAGGGGGTTCGTTATTGTAATTATGGTATAACTAATGGCCCCAAAACCCTATTAAAAGTATTAGGGCCCCCTCTATTACCCTCTTTGCATCGACTCCCAAGCTTCCGATCTCCTCGGGAGTTTCCGAAAATGGGGGACCCTCATATAGGACCCTTAAATAGTAGGATCCTTCTCTAAGGACCCCGAAATAAGGTACCCCTACTTTTCGGAAGCCCTGAACCCTTATAGAGAGCCCTTTATTGGAACCCTTATAGTACCCTTATAGTAACCCTTTTCCAAGGAACCTGTAGGCACCCCCACTTCGGCTCACGCAGGCGAGGCTGTGCTTCTCGAGCAACCTCCATGGGCGATCCCTCCAGGAGCGGCGTCCTGCGAGCAGCCGTGAAGGATGGCTACTTAAAGGATCATGGGACTTAGTAAGTAGGTTATAATTGGCGTTACAAGTCCCCTAAGTGGGGTTATCCTAATTGTAACCTACTTATAACCTTACTTACCAAGTCCCATGAGCCTTTAAGTAGTTTCTAGGCTGCTTTGAGTGATTCTGACCGTGGCAAATACATACTCATCTATGCGGAGCTGGTTGATGAATTTCGGCCCATCAAGAAGGAACCAGGTGAAGCAGGGTCGTCGAAGCGATTGCATGGACTACATTGCTGCATGTGGCATCCAGACTTTTAGTTTTTCGACAAGTGTGCGACCGTCAACCTTTCATGCGAGACGGTTGATGAGAAATGCCCTCCACACTTGTGTGGTTATATTCGCATGTCTGATGCCGCGGTCTGTAGAATTACATGGGTCTGTTGCTTTTTTTGCCAGATTCCTCGTCAGAAGCTGTCCAATGGTCATGAGCCATGGTTGTTTTTCACCACCACCATCATCATCATCATCATCACACTATCACTATCACTATGAGGGGGGTGATAACGTTGTCGCTGTGATGATGATCATCACCATCGTCAGTAATACTCCTTCTCGGCCTCATCACATTGGTCGCAGCTTCACGCCCATCAAGCAACGGCATCACCAGTATCGAGATCATCAGCATCATCCGTTACATGTGCAAGGTTCAGCGACAGCTTGTGAGAATACTCGTAGCTTTTGGTGCCAGAACTGATCTCGTTTCCCACACCAGCACCCATGACGAGCACCGGCACCAATGTCCACGAGAACAATGGAAGGACAAATGGCATGCGGTCCCTTCCGCAGGAATCCGTGCTTGTTCAAACATGGTGCCCGACATTGTAAAGCACTCCTCGCCAGAAAGTGCCCTGCTTCTAGTGCCTAGCCAGCAGCACAGACACAGACTTAGCCCAACGCCCGAACCTGTTCCCTGGCTCCTCTCCGCGTCGCCAGATCCCGCTCCCTCAGAGCCATGCCGAAATACAGCGAGATGTCGGGTCGGGCCGAGAACCTCCCTGGACACAAAGCCTTGGACAAGTACGACCTGCCAGAGTGGTGTGCACACCCACTGAAAGAGCCTGCGGCACAACCCAACATGCTGATCTTTCCTGGTGAGCAGACGCACTATGCCGGGACGCTTGCAGCTGAGAGTTTGAAGCAGTTTTGCTGAAGTACAAGCCCAACAGGAAGAGGCATGAAAGGATGCATATTGTACCCTAAACCCTGTAACATGTCTTGATCTCAGGATGCTGGCTGCCTGCCAGAGCATGCCCCAGCTGCAGGATGCTGGGCCATGTTTGGAAAAGCTTGTGCACGCTTGCTCTTGGCTGGTTCTAGGAGAGTCGACATCTGTGAAACTCGACCATCTTGTCTGGTATCTTCAAAGGCTTAACTTTCGTGGCCACAGTCATGTGCTTGACTCTGACATTCGATAGCTCCCCGGGAAGCCAAGGATATGGTGGAGTTGGCCACCGAGGCCTTCGACTTCGATGTGCAGCGTGTACTAGAGGAGTGCGGCCCTGAGGATCACGCCGACCGCACAGACCGCAGCCAGATGTTCCATGGCAAAACAAGATCTTGCTTTGACTGGTTAGTTAAGTGTTGGTCTATTGTGACCAGATACCGTGTTTGTCAATCCGTTGAGCGTAATTGCTGTTTACTTTAGGCTACATCGATGACCGAAATACGGTATAGCAGTGTGGTACTACTACTACTACTACTACTACTACTACTACTACTACTACTACTACTACTACTACTACTACTACTACTACTACTACTACACTACTACACTACTACACTACTACACTACTACACTACACTACACTACTACTACTACTACTACTACTACTACTACTACTACTACTACTACTACTACTACTACTACTACTACTACTACTACTACTACTACTACTACTACTACTACTACTACTACTACTACTACTACTACTACGACTACGACTACTACTACTACTACTACACTACTACACTACTACACTACTACACTACTACACACTACTACACTACTACACTACTACACTACTACACTACTACACTACTACTACTACTACTACTACTACACTACTACACTACTACACTACTACACTACTACACTACTACACTACTACGCTACTACTACTACTACTACTACTACTACTACTACTACTACTACTACTACTACTACTACTACTACTACTACTACTACGGTGGACGCAGGAAATCTTGCACCACCTACACAGTGTTTCGAGTGCACATCCAAGCAACAACCCCGCGCCCCCTCTTTAACATTGACGACAGATCTCTTGGGGCGGTGCAAGATTTCTGTCATTGGAACGATTTTGTAAAACCCCGTGTTCATAGCAATGTTAAGAAGGGGGCGAGGGGTGAAGCTACAAAACATATCTTAAAAGCGGTGCAAGATTTCCTCCATCCACAGTACTGCTGCTACTACTACTACTACTACTACTACTACTACTACCACTACTACTGCTGCTACGACGACGACGACGACGACTACTACTACTACTACGACGACGACCACGACGACGACGACGACAGCGACAACGACAACGATGGCGACGGCTACAATTCCACCACTACGACAATGACGACGATGAAGATTTTGATGATGATAATGATGTTGATGATGCTGCTAATTGTGATGATAATGAAGAAGATGAAGAAGATGATGACGACGATGCCGATGACCGTGATGATGATGGTGATGATGTTGATTGCTAACGCATAGCTGGTCTGATGATAAGTTCGGCATTTCCCGAAGGCTGGCCTATGTTGCCGACTGTGTGGCGTTTGAGATCTTCAAACAGCAAAATCCGGACGTTGCTTTGAAGCCCCGTGCCGTGGCTGGCTTCTCTGTGGGGGAAATAGCTGCGCTAGTTGCTGCTGGTGTTATGTCCTACGACCAGGGGCTGATAATTGTGAAGGCACGGGGCGAGGCAATGCAACAGTGGGCCGACGAAGAGGACATGTCGGCCATTGCGGTTTTTGGTATGGATGAGGAGCAGCTGCAGAAGTTGTGCAGTCGTGTTGACCCCAACATGCGGGCACCATCGCAACAGAAGGTCTTCATATCGTACTGCTGGGGTCGTCGTGGTTTCGTCTGTTCTGGACAGCATGGCGCCGTCGTAGAGCTACAAGAAAGATTGCAGCAGTCAGGAGACGAGGCTGTCTACGCACAGATGCTGCCGGCTCATAAGCATGCCGGGCACACCCCACTAGCTGTCAGGGTGGCCGAGGAGGTGGAAGAAGCTGTCAACAGCATTCCCATGAGCCCTCCCACTTGTGAGGTCTACTTCAACACAGGCTATCGTGTGGCGGCCGGAGAGGATCCCTCTGTGTTCGTGCCCTACTTGCTACAGCAGCTCACGATGCCGCTCCGATGGGACTTCATTATCCAGACAAGTCTTCAGCGAGGCATCCGCAGATTCTTTGAGTGTGGTCCCGGCCAAAGCTTGAGGGAGCTGATGGTCTTCAACTCCTGCAACACCCCCACCCAGATGATCCGACCGTACGAGCTGACGACCAGCTTGAAAGTCTAAGCTTGCGGTGCTTATAGGCTAGACGTTGAGAAGCCTTCTTCGCAGGAAAAGGAGATTGTTCTTGCTTTATGGGGCGGGTCCGCATTCAATTCGCTTGAAACTCGTTGAACGGCTCTGCCCACGAGGAGCTTGCCTCGCAATCAGCTGCTTCGTACACCTCCAAAGCTGGTACAGGTCCGGGGCCTGGGCTTCAGGGTGTAGTCTTCAAAATCAAAAGACATGGGAACAAGACCACGGTGTGTCTGTGGCCTCAATACCCAAAACCCCTGAAATCCCCCGACCTAACCGAGGATGGCAGTGTTTGGGCTTCTGTTCTGGATCTCGGGACTGTGGATTTCTGTGCTCTGTCAGGCTGCTACACCCTGCTGGCGGCCTTGACAGAGCAGGGAAGGATTCTGGGCTCCTTGGCAGTTGTTCCGAGGCTTCCCGCGAGACTGCCTCCAGAAATCTGGCATCTCAATCTACATAGGTCCTTATAGAGTTATACCTGAATCCGAAAACCCGCGCCCCGAAGTCTTTGTTCTAGTTTGAGAAACATGGATTGCCTGGCAGTTGAGGCTGTTTCACCGACTTCGCTTGGCGATGTCACGGTTCCGGAGGCGGCTTCGGAGATGTCTCCAGCGAATGCTTCGTCTTCTCGCTTGAAGAGACTTGACCGGAAACAGGAGGAACACTCCACGGCTCGGCCATGGTGCACATTCTCTCGCTCGGGTGGTTGGAAGTTGCTTAGCACTTGCCAAGGACGGTGTGGCGCGCGTCTACAGAGGATGCTGCCGAGGCGCACTTCTTTTTAAAGCTACCGTTGCTCAGGACGAGTTTAGAGTTGCAAAGAGCCCCACTGTGAGTCCTCTTCCCGAAGTCTTTGGTGATGTCCGGCGTCCGGCCTGGCTTGGCAAGGCTCCGTCTTGCGCTTGACCGCAGATCGGATTCGGATCGGCCACCAGGCCGGTGCTTTTGGCGTTAGGCCGGCATAATGGGGGAAATGTGGCGGTACAGTTTCGCAAAGATAGCTCTGGATCTTCTTGAGATGTTTTTCAATTGCAAAAGTGCTTGCAAGAAACTGATACAGTCCCAGATGCTAGCAAGCTACAGTCTGATCACCGGGATAGTTGGCATGCTAGCAAGCTACAGTCTGATCACCGGGATAGTTGGCATAGCTCTGGAGAGTTGTTTGCCTCATGCAGCAGGCTCAGCCCCGCTGGTACCCACAACGACTGAAGCTGTGGGAACCAGATCCAGACATCCCGAAACACTGCCTGCCCTCCTCATGCATATCCTCGAACTCATCCCTTTCGAGCCGGTGTCTCTGCAGGTGCGGCAGCGGACGACAGCCGTCGCACTGGATTCCTCGCTGCTTTGGGTGTCCAGCGACAAGGGAGATCTCTTTCGACACATGGCCCTGTTTGAGTTTCAATCAAAGGGGGACGCCGAGCCCCAAAATACTTAAGAAAGCCTCCAACCCTTTCATAAAGCCCCATCATCAACATCCTCTGTTTTGTAGAAGCAGGCCTCTCATGCAGCATATGTCTGCCGTCTTATCGTTCTCGGGTCTTCGGATCTTGTGAGGCGAGGAGACCACAGGAAGGGGGAGCGAGCATAGCATTGGCCTTGGAGATCGCAGAGCTTCCAACCCTCAGCCTGCAAGGAAACCCCTGCCTCCTGGATACGAGCGTGGCTTCCGCCACGGCGAGCGTGGCCGCCGTCGCTTGCCTCAGCCGCTTGGGAAGGAACAGCTTGACCCATGTTATGCTACACGTGGTGTCGCGCCGCATCAGTGGCGAACCGCCCTTGTCCACACTCTGGCAAGGGCATGTATCAACCCAAACCCGGTATATACTGTTGGGGGCGAGGCGCAGCTTGGCGACGCTGCACCCTCTATCCTTGTACCCCGAACCTTAGTCTTAAAGTGCTAAAGTCTAAGACCAGTCCTGAGCCCAACGAACTGTCCAGACCTATGCTCGACAAGGCATTCAAGATCATACCGAGTGCTGCGACCCACAAACCTTACAGCTCTTTCTTCAAGAACTACCTGCCTGCACTATTATTATGCCCTGTATACTTATATTATAGTATAGTACCCGAAACATTGCTCTACGTAAAAACCATTAAGAATCCACGAAATCAGGTTGGTCCCACCTAGACCCGTCAGAGGGCGAAGAGCAGCTGCCGTTGGCGCTGCAGTCCAATCAGGACTGCTGCTGTTGGCTCAGGGCCACGGCCCCCCGGGTGTATGGCCTCACTACATGAGGAGTCATGGGAACGCCTGAAGTGCTTCGACAGTGGCTCTGCAGTTTGAAAGTGGCAACCGTTGGGTGAGTGTGTTCATGTGTGTGTTTAGATTTTCGTGCTGTGTTCTCATATTCAATTGTCGGTGATTTAGTGACATAGGCTTGGCAGCTGACGGGGTGCGAGCTTTGCCAGAATCGTGCCGAGTTGTCAAGTATGTCAAGTATACGGAATGTTTTTTTGCGGCGCGATCGACCCGGTTGTGGAGTACATGTCTAGGAAGTCAGTGCTGCATCATGTACATCGTCGCTGCTTCTGGCTCTGGGCACGCAGCTTCTGAGTAGAGACGCATCCTCTCAAAGTTGGAACCAGCCCGACTGTGCGTAGGCTGTGTCGCAGCAAACATCACCAGAAAATCTTGCTTTTCCTTGGCTCGTCCACCGCCATGGGGAAAACGTTCGAAAGCCTTTCTGACGACCACGCGCCCTGGTCGCCAAGTGCTCTTAAGAGTCTTTAGGGACCACTGAACGTCCGGCCCGTCAATACGGTCAATATGCTTCAGGGACTCAACGCGAAACCTGAAAGCACCAAGCCCTTTCTAGACTGGCAGTGCAGTGTCCTCAACGCATGCACGGTTGGAGCTTTGAACCTGTACTTCCTGTACTTCTCCCCGTGGTGATCGGTGACAGTATGTATAGCAGCATCCATCTCCACATCACAGCCCGTCGATTCGTATTTTCCTGAGCATAACATATGCATAGCCTTGGCATCGCCGCCGACTTCCCGGTACCCCTGCTAGCGCTGAGCATCCTCTTGTACAGTACTCTGACGTGAAGGGTCTCAACCGCTTGTGCCTGAAGCTCTTAACTTGCAAACGACGAACTCCGTACCCATTCCGAGGTGACGTGGCTGAAGAAGCAAAAAGTGTTCTTCGTCGCCAGCGCGACCGCCAAAGGCCCGGGACCGAAAGTTGTCAGGCTTCACCAGGCGAGGTTTCGCAGTTTCCACGGTTTTCAAGTAGCGATTTCGTGGTCCTCATTCTTGAGCAGCCGATCCGTGCCGGTGGTCGAGTTCATTAACACATCATCAGCAATCCGCTGAGTTGTAATGCTGGTGATGTTAAACGGGCTAGAGCGTGTGCAACATTGCCAAAGCCTTGTTTAGACAAGCCGAGTTTTTGCTTCTCGCTGGCACGAAGCAGAGTCTTGTCATCGTGATCGTGCGGGAGGGCAGAGCTGTATTCCCTGTGCAGCTCTACCAAGCTCGCGTAAGACTCGTCCGAACACTTGTCGTGTTTGTGTCTCTGGGATGATATCCCTGAATTAAGGAATATACTTTAGATTATAGTAGGATCCCTAAGGGATATTGGAGTCCCTCTGGGTTCGGGGTTTCTCCACCTGGTGATTTTCCCAGCGACTCCAAGCCATGGCCCCAAACTCCCTATCTGCGCTTTGGCAGGCCTTGTCAACGTTTCTCCAAAAGGCGGCAGGGAATGCCTGGGGGGGTTTGGGGGTCCGCAGGCTGAGCCTTGTGGGCTTCAAGGCTTCAGCTTGACCATGCGCAACTTGTGGCAATCCTCTGCTTCAGGTTTGCTTGGTTTGGGACGGCCTTCTTCGCATGTCGGGTTTGCATGCGTGCAGTTCGGACATTCGACCTGGCGTGGCAGCGCGAGTCCGAAGCTGAACCTCCCAAAAGCCAAAAGCCTTATCTTATGCGGGTTGCACCCAGAGAACTCAAGCCGGAAGGTTACACTGCGGGGACCTTTGCAGTGCTTTCGCCGACGCAGGTGGTGCCTCGGGCAAGAAAAGGGGCTGCAGCCAGCTTTTGTAGTAGCGAGGCAGACATGACTTCAGTTCACTGGGTCATGTGACGTGGGCTCCGGAGCTTTCCGTGGGAGGGCACCTTTGTGGACTTTTTTTGATAAATCTGTGCATTGAGCTCGATGTTGTTCGAGGCGTACCTTGACTTCACTGGCAGCGGATCTGAGACGATCGCCCACTCCTTGCAGTATCCTGGCAGAACAGTTGCGCAACTCCTTCACATGAGTTCAAAGAGCCAACACCAGGCACAAAAAGAGATTCACGGTTGGGACTTGCGTGCAGAATTTCCTCGATTGGCCTAGTGCGCGGATCTAGGATACATTCGCAAGACCGCAAGACCTTTGGCACTATTGGGTTTCAATAGTCCGTTGGTGCTTTCGGGCTTTCCCGGTTAAGCTTGCGGTTTGTAGGTGAAGAGCACTCACCAATTCCTGTGGCGGCTTGCTCTCTGCGTTGCCAGACCTGAAAATAGTAATCTTCGCAAACGCAAGACCAAGTTAATTTTAACGCTACGCCGCCCGCCTCGGCTGTGTAGCAGCAGGGCGAGGGGGCAGTCGATGTTTTTTTGTGCTAGGGCGGCCTGTCAAACCCCAACCTGTACACGGTTGTTGATGCGAAGTGCGAGGAGAATGGGTAGGGGAGGGGGGGGAGGGGGGGGGGGGGGGGGGGGGGGGGGGGGAGGGGGGGGGAGGAGGGGGGGGGGGAGGGGGGGGAGGTTTGGGAGGGGGGGGGGAGGCCGACAAATCAGGTAAAATGACGGGCAAGGGGGTGGCAAACGAACGCAAAAAACGGGTGTCCCCAAACATTTGGACCGGAGGGAAAAGAATTAGGTGGAGGGTACCTGAGCTAACCCCCAAGACGCCTGGGCCTGTGGCCTCGGCGGATTAGAGCTTGGAGCTCTGTGGTAAGATGACTGCGAAGATGCAAAGGAACAACCGCATCACGGTGATGTTTGTTGCGTTCGAGGGCGATCCCATTATCATGAGGCCTGCGCCCATGGGAGATTAAGTTTTCGAGGATGTATTGATTTCAGAAGACACGAGGGAGGATTTGCTGTTCAGTTTGTGTGGCTCATGTGCCTTCTAGTCCCCAATGGTGTTTTTTCTTCGGCATTGAGTTTTCTGAGCCTTCTCACTGCGAGGAAAGACATGAGATGCCTGGTGCCCGTTGAAGTCCGTTCCATATCGCATGCCTCTTTTCAACAAGCGTTGATCCGCTGATCTGTTTCAGCCACATGCCCGGAGCAGGGATGGTAGGTTCAGTTGTGCACGCCACGGTTTGTGCCCTCTTTGGTCCTCTCGGAGCTCCCTGCCAGGCTCTACGGAAACATGCGCGCCGCGCGGCGGACCTTGTGGTTTGCTGTGGGACTGCAGCTTGAAGACTTTGGGTTCAGACAGCAGTGCATTGGGGGGTTGCTTTTGTCCAGCTGATGCAGCCTCAGGACCCTCAATCAGCCTGTGCAAGTCGGTCGTAAATCCACCTGGCCTCCTATCCCAGGCTATTCAGCGGGATGCTGTGCCCGCTGAGCTGCTCAGCAAGTTCGGCGAGGAATTTACTAGCAGTCACGGTTTCCGTGCCGCGACCGCGCAGCACTTGGTTTCATGCCACGGAGCAGATAATAACATAGGGGCCTCCTAGTATAACTATAATGGTATAATATACCCCGAATCCCGATTCTTAACATCAAGGCCCCTACAGTAGATTCGACATATTCATGATGAAATGGAGGAAGATGCTTTCCTGGTACGGCTTTGCAGATTTTGTTGTAGTCTTGATCGTGCAGCGCCACGTGCCATGTGCCCTATCAAATCCTGTCCTATATGTCTATTGTTTTTGAAACCTGATCCCGTTTACAGTGTTGGACATCACCCGAGTTTTCCGGTAAGGTAATCGTCATCGACGTCCATCGTGTTCAGTCCTCGTGCGGCTTCTCCATCCCTTTCTACGACTACGTCGGGGAGAGACCGGTGTTGCCGCCTGCCTCATGGTCTGAGATCCTGACAGCTGTTTCGGCCAAATCAGAGTTCGGTATTCCGATTTTCGGGTGGCCGGCTCCTAAAACTCTGACGGCTCAGGATGGACCACTGGGCGAAGAAGACATGGGAGGAGGCCTCGGCGTCACATCGTCGTCTTCGTGTTTGAGTTCAGAGCATTCGAGGTTCCCTCTATCCCTGGTGTCGTGGCTCTCGAGTCTAGAGCCATCTCCCAAGCCCGATGACCTCCTCGCGGCCTCTGGAGGTTGAAGACTACCGGGTGCTGAAGAACAGCCGCTCGGCATTCTCTGCCTCTCGCTCTGTCCCCTTTTTCATCCTTTTACCTTTTGCCATCCATGACAGCGACAGCTATCAGAAGCTGTCAGCTATCTCCATCCGTGGCACGACGAGGCTTCTCCATCGACCTTCTCCCGTCCATTGGCCACCGCATCTGGAACCCAAAGGCCTGCTAGGGGCGTGGGTCATGGCAGGGTCTGAACTTCCGAAAACGTCCCATCTCACAGTGTTTAGCAGTCTGGCTGATCTGTTCATCTTTCGATTTTCGATGGCTTTTGCCCGGTACAGGTAGGGTTTTGTCGCTTAGCTTCTGCGCAGAGTTGTCGAATGGCTCGGCCTGCCTTTGACGGTTTCTACAACGCAGGAGATGTTGGCGAGTTGGCTTTGAAAGGTTCAAGCTCCGAACCCCAAACCTTACAACAATCCGTGTAGAGGTCCTCAGACGCCTCAAAGCGCCCCGCGAGTTGAATCCCGAAGAAGCGAAGGCTCCCGAAGTGGCTCCGCGCTTCCGAGCCGGCTTCTGGTATGGCTCTTGGGCTCTCCTTGGGGTTTTAAGTTTAATATGTATATATATATATATGTATATATATATATATAGACAGATAGTACATAATGTGTAATCTGTAACGTATCATGTCAAGCATATAGCATGATATAATATAACATAGACAAGTAAGAATACATAATCAAATATAAGCACAGACACATGCAAGTAATGCAAACCGCGCATCCCCAAAACTTGAAGAAGTACGACATGCATGCTTAAGGCCCATCCCACAAGCAATTGGAAGCACTGAAAGCAAAGCCCTGATTTGTCCCCGAAGCCTAAAACGGCTAGAGTTGGCTCAGGGTTCACCCTCTCTGTTTGGCCACATCCGAGGCTTCAAGGATGTGACCATGAAGGAGCCGCGCTTGAATTTGAAGCCACCATGTCCTGACAGAGACCGGCCGGGGTGGGGGGGACTGATACTGCTTCTTGACCCGAGGTGGACCCCAAGCCCAAAACCCAAACCCAATACCCGACACCCCCAAACCCAAAACCCGAGACCCCTAAACCCTCGGCGAACGGAAAAGGGACGTCTTATAATGACCCTGAACCCCGAAACCGCAAATCCCAAAACCCGAAATGGTGTGCTTTGCAGTTCCTGGTTTGACCAGATCTGCAAAGGGACTGGACTCCACCTCCAGGCCAAGCACGAAGCCCCAAACCCTAAAAGCCCGAAACGCCTAAGCCAGAAAACCCTGTATTCTACGGCCCTATTCCATAAGCCCCAAAAGTGAAACGTAAAGAAACCACAAGAGTTCAAATCCACAAGATCTTAAGACCATGTTCCCTAAACCCCAGAAGAGTTTCAAATCCCTGAGATCCCCTAAACCCTGAACCCTAAACCTTAAGCTTAAGTCCTGTAAGATCCTATCTCCAAGGAGCGACTGGGCTCCTGGCTCGAGAGAGCTCTCGGACCTTTGAGGCTTCGACCGCAGAAAGTCCGAAAGTCCTTACTGTTCTTGGACTCTACTCAACGGTTTAGGGGTTTTAGGGTTTAGGGTTTAGGGTTCAGGGTTTTTTTTTAGGGTTTAGGGGTTTTAGGGTTTAGGGCTTAGGGTTTAGGGTCTGCTCTACTTCTGTAGCCTATGAAACATGGTATTTTTACTGTAACCTTTCGCTTAGTTGTAGCTTTTTCTCTTAGTATTTTTCGCTCGTAGACGTAACTTTTTCCCACACCCGTCTACCCCACTACCCACAAGACGAAAACCCCAAGGAGTGAATGAAGCAAGAACCTTTTACCCAAGACGCAAACCCCATGGAGTGAATCCAGCCAGAACCTTTGGCCCAAAACGAAAACCGTAAGGAGTGAATCCAGCGAGAACACTTTATACCAGACGAAAACCCTACATGTACAACACAAAACTTTTGGTTTGGTGCTAAATACACCAGAAAAAGTTAGTGGCGTGGTGCCAAAGACACCAAGAAAAGTTAGAACTAAGATGCCTGTTTGTGTTTGCAAGGTTCCATCGTGCGTTTTGCACCATTGCGGCATATTCTTATGTTACATCCCTTTTCCAGGGCTTTCTTCCGGATTGCCGGTTGAAGCACTCTGCGACCAAGGATTTCCTAGAGCCCCGTTCACCTTGGCCTTCAAGCCTTCAGTTGAAAGCGCACACGCGGACGGTGAACCACATGCCCACATCTTGTGCTGAGGAGCCTTCTCACGACCCGTGACGTCGGCATGCTTGGTGCCGGTGCACTTAGTGCGGTGGCTGTGGTCAAGTACTGCGAAGCCTGCCGGAAGGTTTAGCCGTTGCCGGATTGGATGGGCCATCCAGCAACGTCCAATAACCTGTGCAAAATCTTTCCTGTTCAGTGGATTGCAGGACTCTGAAAAGGCCGAAGGCCGACCTGTCGTGAATCTTGCTTACTGTTTCGCACTTATGATCTGAGCATCTTTTGCTTTAAAATAACAGCCAGGACGGGTCGATGGAGCAAGGCTCTCGGAACGACAGTTTCCAGGCCTTGCTCCTAAATCCAGCTTGTTGCAGCGCCCCGTTAAGAACCAGCTGTACAGTGTCCAGACTTTGGGCGTTTCGGTTAGTTGACTTGGAAAACAAGCCCGCTTCTGCGTCTATCTGTGTCGTGATATGCCTGAAGTTCTCTTAACAGCTCCCAGCCATTTGGAAGGCCTTTGGCACCTGCCCGGCAGCATCTGGACTGGAACGAACGTGCCCAGATTCATCATCCTCAAACTAAAGCGGTCTTGTAAGCGCTGGAGAACTCTTGCTAGCCCTTGGCCCTTCATTCAAGCTTCAAGAAGCGGAGACTTTCTGCAGCGGGACAGGACACCTTTATGCTCAACTTCATTGGCACCTCAGTGCGGAGCCAGCTGGCCGCGAAAGCCGGCAGCGCCTGGTGTTGAGAAGGGTGAAAAAGTGAGCGTTTGCTGCAAGTCCGGGCGTTGCACAGGATCAGAAGATTCCCAAAGCGAGCTCCATCACAGGCATGGTCCTCCAAGAGGTACATTTGAGAGAAAGACTGAGATGGTGGTCCTCCAACATCAACGGCATCAGCAATAGCAGTAATAGTTCTCGACATTGCGGGGATAATAGTATGAAGAGTAAGACTTAAAGAACATCAGCAAGTGACACAACTGCACTCACACTCAATTAAGTATGGTCCCTTATACTTATATACTTTAATTCATAATCGCCGTCCAAGTGGAGAGCCTGATCACAGTAGCAATTAATATTGTGACTCTCTGTCGCTCTCTCGCTCTCTCGCTCTTTCTCTCTCTCTCTCTCTCTCTCCCTCTCCCTCGCCCTCCCTCTCAGTCCCTTTCTCACTCCTTCCCTCCCTCCCTCCCTCCCTCCCTCCCTCGCTCACTCTCTCTCTCTCTCTCTCTCTGTCTCTCTCTCTCTTCTCTCTCTCTCTCTCTCTCTCTCTCTCTCTGTCTCTCTCTAAGCACCACGGCTCAGACCGGCTCTACAAGCAGAGCTTTGTATATACAGCCGGGTGCCGCATGACATGGCGTCTTCTCATGCTGCTTTCAATGGTGAGTCTAGTGGCAAGTGCGCTGACCTTTCTGCCAGTACCGACAGGACCTCCGAATCGATCCGCAACCCCAACAAAATTAGCCACGCGTGGTTGGGACCCGACTCAGGACCCGATTCAGGATCTGCAACCGGCCCCGTACGGGAGTCCGTGTTGGAACAGCGCTCCGTCATTGATCAGGGCCCGTGTGATATGGACTGCTCTGCCGACACACCCGCAGAGTGCATTTTACTCTCCAAGCTTGGATCTACACCGAAAAGGAAAGTGCGCCGCAGAACCTCCATACTTAGGTCACAGGATCTTCTCGCTGTGCAGGCGCTGGAACAGGCACAGCGCAAGCACGATGCCACTTACGGCCCCTATCAGGGTGCCGATCAGGTTACGTCCCTGGCTCAGAACTCTGAGAGTACTTCAGCATTGGACTTGCACTCCATGGATTGAGCATGTGAATGCTACCGGCGGCCCCGGTCCCGGGAGCCAGCATCGCTTTCTTGTCTTTGATGATCGCTGCGAGCGCGCTGCTCGCGGAAGCACTCGCGATGCTCTCCACAGACGGCTCCCTCAGCGGAAGCCGGTCCGAGCCGAGCCCGGTCCCAAGTCCGGGCCTCGATTTCGAATTGCCCATCACCATCCCGTTTGTCAGGCGAGGGGTGCGAGGGTTGCTGGATACCTTGCCTCAGGTCCAGCAGGAGCGGCTTATTCAGCCCTCCTAGTGCTATCACACACTAGTGCGAAGCCACGAGGTAGGCGATCTTCTTTTTCACCGAGCATCGTTGCAGCCTCAACATGCTGTACTGGTAATGCAGATCGCGAAACTCAGGTCATCCAGGTTCTCCTGGAAACCATCTTCTTCTTGTACCACCTTCTTGCCTCACCGGCCCTGCTTGGGGACCGCCTGCTCCGTTATCTTGCTCCTTGTGTAATCCTGACACCACCTCTGCAGGACTGCTGCTCAAGCCCAGGACCCGCCCTAGATCCAACCTGTAGGGAGGCATGGGGGCCACGATCCGACGCAAGCCATCGAGCTGCATTGCCGGTGCTGCCGGCCGTGTGGCGAAGAGGCCCAGCTCACAGAAGCCCAAGGCCGCTCTCAAACGCCCGAGCGTGCCCCGTTCAGTCACGGCCCCTTGCGGGAGCCGTCGTCGTGGTCGGAAGCCAGCTGGCCAGGATCCCAAGCCTGACACCCGCCTTTCTTCTCAAAGCAGTTCCTCAGGCCGCACCTCGCAGATCTCCTGGTTCACCGACTCCTCGGAGGCTGTCGATGCAATGGACATGGAACTGGTGCCGCCGAATCCGCCGGGACCGTCTGCTGGACCGCCACATGCTCCGCCGAGACCCCGGCCGGTGCGGGATCGCTCCTCTGACTCTGCCGAAATCGAAAGGAGCGGGAGGAGACACGGCCCCCCTTGTGGGCCGCCGCCGCCACAGCCCGTGCACTATTCCCACTCCCCGTTCGGCAGTACTGATGAGGAGAAGCCGCCCTCGAGACCCACATCAGCGGCTGATCGTCGCGCAGAGCCAAGTGAACAGTATGAGCTGCATGAGCCGTATAAGCTGCATGAACCTGCTAGAGCGATCCGAGAGAACAACCATGGTGGAGTCGTTTCTCCCGTTGCAGGGCAGCCGCGAAAACTAGGAGTTCTAATGCACTTCTGCCACCCTCGGCTGTATGAGCTGAGTTTCTGTCTCTGGCTGCCAGGTGGAGCAAGGCCTCCTCACACCTTCGGTCGGTCGGCTGCGTGGGCAGCCCATGCTCGGTGCAGCCCCTCACTGTGCAGCCTTACGGCCCCTGACAGGGAGCCTTGTCTTCTGCCAGGTGTGCTCCAGCTCCCTCATATCTCAGGTCAGCCTGCAACTCGGTCGGCCCCACCCGGGTGCCGTGCCACTTCTTGCAGCCAACAAATCCTGTTGTGTGGGAGCTATCCTGGAACAGGCCGGAACCTGCACCTACAAGCATGGCGTCTGTCTCACGGTCTGCCTCTGAGCCTCTGTGAGCGGGATCAGACACATGTCCGACCTGCACTTTCCAGCTTTATCATGCGAACTCACGGGCAATCTTTTGGCTTTCAGAAGAGGGGGATTTCCTTGTGTTACATCGGGCTCTTGGGGCCTCAGGTTCTCACTCCCAGAGCTCTAATCATTTCCCTTACCTCTCTGCTGAGATTTCCCTCCCCTCTGAGCATAGACGATCCATCTTGGACCCCTGCACAACAGCATCAGGAGGACATATTGGCCATGGGGAAGAGGGTCGGCCCTCGATCACGATGGCGGCCTGATGGCCGCCGCAGGCGCACCCAAGGAGAAATCGCCAAACGGAAGGCCAAAGCTGCAGAGCGGGCTGCTCAGGCAGCTGCCCAGGACCAAGACCAGGATCCGACAGACTCTGAGGAGGATGAGGACGGCCCCGAAAGGGAGCCGGTCCCGGCTGACAGAGACGCGGAAGAAGCAGACGATCAACCCCCAGAGCACGAGCCTGCTGGTGACAGTGTGGAGGTTCTCAATGATCCCAGTTCTGATGAACAGCTCGAACTGCCACGCCTTTCTGGAAGCAGGTACGGGCTGAGGCCGGCCCCGGAAAGGGGAGCCGGGGGCTACCATCGCTCCAGATCGCCGGCACGATCACCAGCGCCGAGAAGAAGCCAGAGCTGGCAGGTCGAAACCTCCAAAGCAATGTCGCAGATCTTGCGACACACAGGGCGAGTACGCGAGGACGGTTATATCCCAGTGACAGAGCTACTGCGGCACCCACGTCTCCGGCAGGCGGGCGCTACCCTGACGGACATTCAGGAGGCGGTGCATGCCAATGACAAGCAGCGTTTCCAATTGTCATGGCAAGGGCGCGGGCATGGTCGCGAGCTCCTTATCAGGGCTACCCAGGGCCACTCACAGCAGCAAGTTCAGGACGACCTTCTGCTCACCCATATTACGGCCCCACATGAGGTGCCGCTGGCTGTACACGGAACCTACTTTCGACATTACTCCGCGATTTATCACCAAGGCCTGAAAGCGGGAGGAGACCGAGGGCAGCGGGCCAGGAAACATGTCCATTTCGCCATGGCCCTACCCAGAGATCAACACAGGGCCACTTCTGGAATGAGGAAAGATGTCGAAATCCTTCTTTATCTCGACATTCCACGGGCTCTCCGGGACAACATGCGCCTGTATGTCAGCACCAACTCGGTGGTGCTGACGGAAGGCTTCAATGGATGTATTCCCATCGACTACATCATGAAAGTGCAATATATGCACCGGCAATGTGCCAATGACGTCCCAGGTGATTCCATTCCATCACCCGGCCGCCTGAAGGCGGCCTTTGCAGCGATCGGTGTCTCACCTCAGGAAGGAAGCCGCGGCCGCTCGCCGGCCCCGGAGCGGGTGCCGAAGTCTAGGCGACATTCGAGAAAATCTCGCTTCGACCCCTGCAAGGTCATGCCCTCTTTAATCAGACCACCTGTGATCCTTTCTGACTTTGTTCATGCTCAGGTCCTTTCTCACCCGACTCGCTGTCATCAAGCTCCCACCTCGGCTGCACGACCCCAGTGGTTTGTGCCTTCACCCTCTCTTTTTGAGGGACCGCTCTCACCCCATCCGCGGTATTGGCAGGCTCGGCCTCTACTTGGGCGCCGCCGCCGCTCCGGACAAAGATCTCGTGACAGGTTTTCCTCTCGGTCCTTCCTTAGCAGGTTTGTGCTTGATTGCTTCCAGTGCCTAAGCTCTCAGCCGACAGGGTTCGCTGACTTCCTGCAGCATTTC